ATTTTATCTCTCAAGGTGACAGAGTCTGGAAACTGATCCAAACCCCAACTTTGGGATGACCACTATCTTAAGAAGAAACAGTATTTATTCAGATGAGAGTGGGATGCAAGATAATACTCACTTTGCAGCACCACATTTGAATTGTGTGACTCTGAAGTAAAGTAACTTTGGATCCAAATTGCTGCATCGTTTGCTCTGCCAGCAAGAAACACACTGAAGTGCATCTGCGCTCCTCAGCATGCAGCTCAGTGGTATGCAAGATGTATGCTTAATGAGCTAATACCATCTGCTTAATATCTGATTGTCACTTCTCCCTTGACGATTCAAATGCCTTCTCTGTGCATGTATGCAATGTTCTACCAAGTTATCCAACTTTTTTATTTGGTAATCTCACGTTTTCTCTTCTAAAGGTATAAAACTGCTACCAGTTAGGAAAAATATTTTTTGGTCAAACCAGTGGCCAAGTTTCCAGCTAAAGACGGGAAACCCTATGTGAAGAACACTTGGCAGTTACATAGCGCTTTACACCTGAAAAATGTCAGAACAGAGGAGAGATGAGGTTTCTCTTGCTGCTGACAGACAAGGAAAAAGGCACAGGCAAAATCTCGCCTATGTTGCAAAGACAGAGAGATTTAAAAGCGCGATCTGCTCTGTACCAGCCACTGTACAAGGCTTGGTGAAATTAAGAAATGGCATTTTCTTAATTCAAATCCAATAAGTATTTTGGCTTTAGAGCGAAAAACACCCCTTGCTACAAGTTTGTAGTTAGTATCTCTGTGAGAAACCTTTACTTCAGCTGCTTTTGCATATCATTAAAATCTAGGCCGTGAACTTGTAAGAACACATACCTTCATCATCCCTACAGCTGCGAGTTTGCTCCTGGCAGAGCAGGACAAATGAACGCAGAAGTGACCACCAACTCTCACACTCTACAACAAGTGACAGAAAGGGCACTGTGCAAAGGAATGGTCTTAATAGCATCTCTTCATCACATCTTTCCCGTAGATGTCTTTGGATTTTAGCATATTAAATTTAAAATAACGGGGGAAAAAACCTCTACCTTGGTTACCAGCTTGCTCTCTCCAGCGAGCACTTCCATTTGAAAATTTCTGTACGTGCTGTCAATAATATTGATTTTATTCACTACACAGGTGATTCCTGGATTCTTGTCAATTATCACCTGGCCTGAAAGAGAGGACAAAAGAGATTCCAGTTAAGGGACTACAACCTTGTCACGTTCTACAAGAGATACAAACACTGCTGTTCATAATGAAATTAATGAAAGTAAGTGTGTATTAGAACAACCTTCAGGGCTGCAGGTGTGACATCTTTCTAAGGCACACACTTTACCCTGACCCAATGCTCAGTGACATCAGACCACAATTACTGTAAGAGGAGAGAACTGTGCCTTCTGTGCACAGCTATAGCATCAGCACAAGGCCAAAGTAAAAATATAAAGCAATGAAAAGCACTCAAAAGTTTTCCTTGTACAAGTAATAATTTATCGGTAGAATAATTGTTAAAAAGATACTTTACCAACTTACAAATTACACAGATTCTTTTTTGAGAAAAGTTGTTTTACCTACCAATCAAGTGTCTGTACGGTAGCTGATGATCTCTCAGATTCAAATGAGCTATGTGACCCACGCGGCTAAATCCAGAGGTGACATCTTGACCTTCAGGAAGGACTGCTCGCAGGATCTCCTCCAACTTGAAATTCTCATAAGTCAGCTCTAAGTTGTACTTGGACACCTCAGGACAAACATTAAGCTGTTTTAACACCTCTTGCTCCGATTCTCCCAATGAGAATTCTCGTATTTTATGAGGGTCCAAAATAACGAGTCTACTGTCCTCATCTTCGGGATCCTCAACCACTCGCTTTAGACCAGGACGCTGTAGTACCGTATGTTTCAGGGACTTCATCAAAGTGTTTACAATTTCTTTCTTGACTTTAAGAACTGGAACAACAACTGTCCTTTTAAAAGCTTCTCTGTTGAGTAGGGTCATCCCACGCACTTCAGGATGCGGCGAATACAGTTCTAGATTCGCTTTATCCTCCACAGTTTCAGGCATTGTAAAAAAACTATTTTTTCTTACTACTACAAAGAGCCCAGGTATTCTGCCAGAATATTGCGCCAACAGCATCCAAACTGCTGGAAATGATGTATTTGATGCAGCTGTCCTAAAATGATTAGTTTTCAGTAGTCTGGCAGAGTATCCAAATCTCCATAAAGTCCTAGAAGAGAAATTATTCATTTTATAGACATTATGTAATCATTCCATTAAAAAAAGCTGCAAATCACATGGATTTGCTGTTCTCTTAAAACTTGAATTTCCATCTGTACCAAACAATCCACAATAGTTTAGTAAAGCTCTTTATTATGAATTATATACTACAAATTTCTCTCCTTTTGCAAATGTATTTTTCGACTGAAACATTAACTAACTTTAAGCAGCGAGGTAATTCCCCCCTGCCAAAATACAATGACCTTTCTTTGTTCTAATAAATTTGATATTAATCCCAGTAAGCCAAATGGAAAAATTTCTACAGTCTTGATCCTACTGTTGGATCCCTTCAGTCTCTGATAAAAATTCATTACCAAGCAGTGGTTGCTGGAAAACAGTTATTAGCAATTGCGGTCATAATCGCTCTTCAGCAATTTCGGCCTCCTATACCCCAGTGGGAAGGGGTTACACACTCTGTAGCGTCTTTGCTCCACGTGCTCCATGCCAAATAGCCCACCAATTAAATGCAGAATTCCCCTAAAGGTATAGGGAAGCATTAGTAATGTCTGTTTAAGCAACTGAACCCCTCTCCACAGTTCATTCATAGGACAGGGACTTGAAACGTAGCTTTACGCTTCTCTAAATGGTTTCCTCCACTAAAGACGGTCCAAAGGGGCCCAACTCTTCTGACCCTGCATTGGCTGCTCTTAGGCAGGAGCCAATGATTTAGGTAGCGTGCGAGGCTGACGTTTCTCCTGCCTTCTTGGAAAGTTTGTTTTAAGATTGGGGGTTGATAAGAGAGAAGCAAACTAGCTCTGCAAGGAAACCGGTTCTCTCGCCTGCCTCAGACATCTACATGCCGACGTACAGGGCTGCTGCCCTCGTCCAGGGTAACAAGCCGCGCGGTCTCTTCAAAAACGGTGCTGTGCCCAAGCCCCAGCAGAGCTGGCCCCGCTCCTGTCCTCCTTCCCCCTCAAATCCCAGATCCTCGCTGGGACTCCCGACCTCTCCAAGCCAGCTCATTTCCCTAGGCCAAGCTTTTGGCAAAGCACGCCTCCTTTCCCTGTTGACTCAAACCCAACCATTCCATTCTTCACATCTGCTCCAGGGGGGAACGATTTCATCCGGAGGCCTGCGCATCCCAGTGTTTTTCTTTAGTCTTTTCTTCTTTCCCTTCTCCCTAGCTGGGAACCGCTGGCCGACTTTGCGGGGCCTTCTCGCTATCAGGTAAGGGGCTGGGCCTGTTCGGAG